GCCGGGCGGGGCCGAGGCCGTGGGTCCGGGGAGCGGAGACGCGAGGCCGCGCGCGCCCGGAGCCGCCCCGGAGTAGCGAAGGGTCATCCTGCTCGCGCCGTATGGAGATGAGACAACTCCCACTCGGGAGGGGCCGGTCCTATCAGGCCGCGCAGCGGTCGGGAGAAGCGCGGACGCCCTGTGTGCCTCTGCGTCGCGGCCCGTCGCCTTTGGTCCCCCACTCAAAAGTGTCGTTTTTGGGTGGTACCTGGGATTGAACCCAGGGTCGTTGCCTGCAGGTAGCGCCCCAGACCTTTTTACCGATTGACTGACTTGATTGTTTCATGAGACAGGGTGTGTCGCTGTGTAGTTCAGGTTGGCCTTTACTAAAGCTCCGCCAGCCTCTTGCAGGAGCCTCCTAAGTGCTGAGGCTAAGCTGTGTGCTACGACACTTGGCTTCAACCTTTTTTTTTTTTTTTTTTTTTTTTTTTGAGACAAGGTCTCACTAAATTGCCCAGGCTGAACTCAAATTTAGGATCTTTCTAGAGGGGCATGTGGTGCATGCCTGTAATTCCAGCATTTGGGAGGCTGAGGCAGGAGGGTCACTGTGAGTTCAAGGCCAACCTGGGCTACCTAGTGAGTTCAAGGCTGGTCTGAGGTACATGGCAAGACCTTGTCTCAGAACAACAGCAAAAATGGTTGTCCTGCCTCAGCCTGCCAGAATGCTGGGATTACAAGCGTGTAACACCGTGCCAGGCACTCCATACTCCAGGAAAGGAGAGGTACAGCTCTGAAAATGAAGATTCCAATCCCAGTTCCAGGCTCAAGATGGCCCTTCCTGTTTATGTGCTTTCTGCCAGCGCGTCCTCTTTCAAACGAGACCAAGGGATGAATATCATGCACAGAGCCACCCGTTTAACAAGTCTTCCTCTCAGAGCCCTGGCATGGTGGCGCAGGCCTGTAATCCCGGCATTTAGGAGGCTGAGGCAGGAGGATGAGTTCAAGGCCAGCCTGGGCTGCATAGCTAGACCCTGTCTCCAAAAAAAAAAAGCCTCTGTCTCAGAATGAGTTTTTAGCACTCAAGCAAAATCCTAGTTCTGAAAGGATTATAGAGTTTACTTTCAAAAGGAATTTGAGATGATCTTGGGCTGACATGCAGCTCTGAGGAATAATACACAGGACACACGTCAGGTACAGACTGCATACAACAATACATAAAAACACAGGCAACACCCCGTCATCCCAGTGTACTTCACCCAGATTCCCTCGGGCCTTACTTGTAATGAGAACATATAATCAATACACAGGAAAAACAAACTAGGTCGGGTCAGATAAGAACCAAAACACAGGGGGTAAGGAGGTGAGATAAAAACACCAGAGAAGGCAGGGTGGGAGGGTAAAAAACAAACAAACAAACAAACAAAACACCAGAGAAGGTCAGAGGTGGCAGCACACACCTGTACTTCCAGGAGTCGGGAGGCTGAGGCAGGAGAATCGCTGAGAGTTCAAGGGCAGCCGGGGCTACATAGTGAGTTCAAGGCCACCCTGAGACCCAGTCTCAAAAAGACCAAGACAAACAAACAAACAAAACCAAAGATTCTGGGTGGAATGACGATGAATAAAGGAAAGGAGTCAGCCCGTGAAAGATCTGGGAGAATCTTGGTAAGCACAGCGGGGCGGGGGCGGGGGAGGGGGGGAATGGACACACGCAGAATGGAAGCGTGGGGTGCAGAGGGGAAGCAATAGTGGAGAAAGACTGAAAGGCAGTCCTTCCTGTCACTAAAGAAAACCACAGCGCCCTCGCCATCCCGCCCCGGCCCCAGTCCAATCTGCTCAAGGCCAAACCTCCTGATCTGGTCCTTCCCCTTTGCTCTTCTTTTCTTAGTCACCCGCTGCTGGGTCCAGAAACGGCTGGGTCATGGGTTTCGCTGCTGACTACCCTGTGGCTGATTTCAACTCATTTATCTCCTTCTAAGAGGGAGGAAAATAAATGAGTTCATAATTTCAAGAAGTGTGGACGGGCAGGGCGTGGTGGCACACACCTGTGATCCCAGCCCTGGGGAGGCTGAGACAGGAGGGTCGCTTCAAGTTGAAGGCCAGCCCAGGCTGCATAGTGAGACCCTGTCTCAAAACAACAACAACAACAAAAAAATGTGAAGGAATGTGAAAGATGTTCCTGTATTTTAAGGAGCTTATTGGCAAAAATCTTAGAGGAAACCAAATGGTTTTATAAAGTAGGGTAAATTTATTCAACAAATGGGTAAACCTGTAACCCCTGCACTTGGGAGGCTGAGGCAGGAGGATCGTTGAGAGTTCGAGGCCAGCCTGGGCTAAAAAGAGAGCTCAAGTTCAGCCTGAACTGCATAAGGAGACCCTATCTCAAAAAGACAAAAAACAAAAAACAAAAAACAAAAAAACAAATGGGTAAAGCAATGCTTAAAAAATTTTGGCTGTATTTTATGAAATAAAAAAGTATAGTTAGGTGTGATGTCACATGCCGACGTCTTAGCTCCTCGGAGGTTTAGGCAAGAGGATCATAAATTTGAGGCCAGTCTGGACATCTGGAAAAGACTCTGTACCAAAATAAGATTCTTTTTAAAGGGCCGAGGCTGGGCATGGTAGTACACGCCTGTCATCCCAGCATGGGGCTGGGGGCAGAGGGTGAGGCAGAGGATCGCCACATGTTCGAGCCAGCCCAAACTACAGAGTGAGTTCAAGGCCTACATACCCTGTCTCAAAACAAAAACAAGCCGGCATGATAGTGCACACCCGCAATCCCAGCCCTTGGAGGGAGCGGGGATCTCCGTGAGCTTGAGACCAGCCTGGAATATAATGAGGCTCTGTCTCAAAAAAATAAAAAATAAGTAAGTTGGGGGTGGTAGGGTTTACCTAATATGCGTGAGGCCCTGGGTTCCATCCCTAGCTACTATGCTGGAAGAAGAAAATTTCAAGGACAAAACAATATGAACATTTATTATGGTGCTGTTGGTAATAATATTTCAAATAGTGTATATTTCTATGCCTATCAATACTGTTAAATCAATGCCTAGTTCAACAGATTAAACAGTGAAACACTATGTGGCCACTGAAAAAAAAGACAAAAAAGAGGAAAGACAGCTTTATAGCAGCCCTCAGAGAAAGTCTCTGAGTGTATTATTGACACAAGGGATGGAGCTCAGTGATAGTACATTTGCCTAGCATGCAGGTGGCCCTGGGTTTAAATCCAAACACTGCAAAAAAAAAAAAAAAAAAAAA